CATACTAATGTCCAATGCAAATCCTTCTTCCCACCCGTCATTCCCATAAGCTCAGTATATCAGTGCAAATGCTGCCTCCTACTAGAGCACGAATGCTTTCTTCCCGCTGCAGTTCACTTTTCTCTAATTGAATTCAAACTCAATAACAAAGTACATGATTATATATTGTGTTCCTTATTGACAAAAAGGATGCCATTCCATGACAAAACGTGTGACCCGCACTCGCCTGACTTATCACAAAAAAATGGTACGCGATTCATTAAAGTCTCAGCCAAAGTAAAGAAGAAATAAATAGAAATTTCAGTGCAAAGGCTTATAATGCAACTTCATGGCAGGATCTCCAAATGATTGTTCAGCAACTCAAGTATGGACCGGTGAGCCAGATACGGTCACATCTTCGGAATTGCCCAGGGAGCAGGAGCATGTTTCATCCGCTGAAAAGCCACACCGGTCATGGCTTATGCGAGTGCTGCTTGGCATCGGGGAGTTGGCGATTGATCAATGGTTCCTGATTGTCATGGCCATTCTCATTGCGTTTGCCTCACAGGTGCAGGTGCCGCATGCTAAGCAGAAGCTAAAACAGACCGTGGTTGATTACCTGGCTGTAGCCGTGATTTTCTTTATCAACGGCTGCACCTTACCCACCAAGCTCCTGGTCGAGAACCTGAGTAAATGGAAGATGCATATCTTTGTCCAGATACAATGTTACCTTCTAACCTCATCGATAAGCTTCGGCGTCGTTAGTGCTACGGCTACTAGTCACTATTTTATGGACCCTAGTCTGTTGATAGGGATTATCATCCTAGGCTGTCTACCCACTGCGTATATACCCTTATCTTTATAAGGAAAGCAAATGAACATTCTCTTGCTAACACGAAAGTGCTACAGCATTGCATTCAATACAATCATGACGAGGAAGGCTAATGGAAATACTGCCTTAACCATCGCACAATCCACTATCGGCAACATTCTGGGTCCTTTTGTGACAACCGCGCTAATCAAACTATACACCAGCACCCATGTGTGGTATACAGACATGCTACCCAAGACAGGGGGTAACTTTGGCGAAACCTATCGATATGTCTTCAAGCAACTCGGACTTTCGGTCTTTGTTCCCCTGGTATAGACTAATTACAATCTAACACTTTCCCGAGCTTCAATTTCGCTGATCCTCTCTTCCAGGTCGTTAGCCAAATCGTGGTAAGCATATTCCCTAATTTTACAACAAACGTCTTGGTCAAATGGAAAGCGAGTAAGATTGGCTCCTTCGCCTTGCTGGTGATTATCTGGGATACCTATGACGGAGCATTCGCCTTCAAAGCGTTTGACGATATTCCCTCGGACAACATGGTCTTCATCGTATTTATTCTTGTTGCTCTTTTCTTTGTCTGGATTACTATTGCCTTTGTCATTTCCCGCGTCTGGCTTTCTCGTGAGGACGCCATCGCGGTATCCTATCTGGTTCCTACCAAAACCCCTGCTATGGGTGTTCCGTTGACTACCATTATGTTTGTGGGTCTGTCTGCAGCGGCACAGTCGCGGATGCGACTTCCGATGGTCATCTTCCAGGCCATCCAGACCTCTGCAAGTAGTCTCTTGACCATTCCGCTGAGGAAATGGCAGGCGCAGGGGAAGGTTGAGCGAGACAGCGATGGGCCCGAATGTCCATAAGATGATATCTCGCTCTATTACGACTTCTAATTTGCTCTGGTGGGGATGGGAATGTCCCAGGATAGTATGACGTGCTCAGTCTAGAATCTTATAACATTCTATTACACCTAGTCTAGGTAGCACTCAACGAGAATACAAAAACATGAGAAAGGGAAAATAGGAGTAGGGGTGAGGTGAGATTCCAAAGATAAACCATATCTAAAAGTTGAACATGTCTTATAATACAGGTATAATAATATATATCTGGATTTAGGAACTCTAAAAATACTAAGAATGTGACGGCTGGGCATGGCTCTGCCTTCCCGTCTCAGTTCACGAATAGGGCTAGGAGCCGTGTAACCCTATCCGCGCCGTATTGGGAAGTGGTATCAACATCAGACGTCGGAGCCGGATAGGGAAAGGCGCGTTGCACAGAGATTTACATGAGAAGCGAGAACCAGGGCTTTTACTTCATTTCTCCCTTTTTCCTCTTTATGCTTAATATTACCTGTTAGGCCTTAGAATGGTGCGGTTCCGGTTCCAGGACCTTTGAACCGCACCGCACCGCAGAACCGTGCGGTTCAGACGCGGTTCAGACGCGGTTCAAACCACATAGAACCGCACATGCATTATTCTGCAAAGAATTTCCTTTTTGGGATGTATAAAATGCTGACTCAAATGGAATTTTACCGTTATTAAACATTGTTTTGGTCTTGTAACAGTCACAGCCTGTAAATCTATACTCAGATTTCTCTATGTTCACTTGTCGAATTCCACCAAAATCCAAGTCTCTGGTTAAACCTATACTCTAATTCAAGAGATTCTTTGATTCAATAAGCTCTCTCAGTTAATATGGCTCCAACTGGGCATCCTTACCTCGACAACATGGCTCCGTGCCGAACCCTAGGTGAACCCCACGTGTAAGAGAAGTATAGCGACCCTGGGAGCTGTAGCGCTTTTATTTTGCTTACAGATAGATTCTAGACAATCAAATATAATGTTAATTAGCAGTTCTGATGATCTCTAATAGCTTTTCGTTGGCGATTGAATGCTATAGGGTTAGTTCATGTCGTATATGTCGCAAGAGATATAAATATTTATCCAAACTCTATCATCACCTTCATCAACACTTCCAAGGAAAATCCATACTTAACTACTACTGTAAGGAAGGTTGTAGAGAGCGTGACTATGAGGCACGATCCGTAGGCGTTATGACAGAGATACATTAATGGAACGTAGAACGTAGGATCTGAATGATGAAGTAGCTATTCGCTACTTCTCTAAGTCCAGGAATCATCTACATAACGTAAGCGATCACCGGATGCACTCTTACCCCGCCGAACGAGTATTATCTTCAAAATCCAACAACATGGTCAACAAAGCAGATATTTTAAAGGCAATTAGTGATCTGAAAGCGCAAAAGAAGCCTCAGTATGCTAAGATTGCCGGGAAATACAATATTGATCGTACAACGCTGATGCGGCGATATAAAGGCCAGACGGTCTCAAATCAAGAAGCGCACTCAATTTACCAAAAACTCCTTACAAATGCACAGGAAGAAGTCCTTCTTGATCATATATCAAGACTTTCAGCTCGCGGATTGCCTCCAACGCCTCAAATTCTTCGAAATATCGTTAAGGAAATCATAGGACATGATATTAGCGAGTGCTGGGTTCGGCGATTTTGCCAACGCTACGAGAATTGAATTACCAGCAACTATTTGAAAGGAATTGATCAATAGCGCAAAGTTGCCGATAATTCAGAATATTTTGAACATTTCTACAATACTGTATGAGCTTTTCATACAATCACTTCTAAAACTGAAGTTAGAATGTGGCAGGACTAATAAATATGTTATAGCTTGCAGAAAAGATCAAGAAATACTGCATTTCTCCATCAAATATTTATAATTTTGATGTAAAAGGATTCATTATAGGTATATGCTGTACGAGGAAACGGATCGTCTCAATCTATCAGCTTCGTTCAAAGAAATTACTTGGGTCAAATCAAGATGGCAGCCGCAAATTTATCTCTCTCCTTGCTTGCATTTGTGCTGATGGCAAAGCTCTTCCTCCTAGTCGTATTTATCAAGGCGAATCACGCGATCTACAGGCTAACTGGCTTGAAGATTTTGACTCATCGTCAGAAAAAGCATACTTTGCATCTTCTGAAAAAGGATGGACTAATGACGAGCTTGGATTATCATAGTTAGCTGTGATATTTGATCCTTATATGAAGGAAAAACCGGGCAGTTCAAGGCGTCTTTTAATCACTGATGGGCATTCAAGTCATATCAATCTTCACTTCATTAATTATTGCGATCAAAATAAGATAATTCTTGTTATCTTACCTCCCCATTCTACACATCGATTACAGACGCTTGACGTCGGAATCTATTCACCTCTCGCAAGTGCGTATTCATATGAGATTGACCGACTAATCCAATCAAGTTTTGGATTCTCAAGGGTGACAAAGCAGGTGTTTTGGCGGTTATTTCGCGCGGCGTGGCAATTAGCTTTAAGCTTTCAAAATATTCGATCAGCCTTTGCTTCACCTGGTATCCATCCCTTTAATCCGTTAAAGGTCATTAATGTTCTCAGAAAAAGGACATCTTCACCAAGCCCAGGTGATAATGAAATAGATTGAAAGACTCCGGGATCTGTTCGAGCAATTCGCCGTACGATTAGGGCTATTCAACAAGAAGAAGGAGATCTTACACAAGCCACGAAGCTTGTGATGAAAGCAGCACAGAAACTGATCATACGAAATGAAATTCTTGAACACCAATATAAAGGCCTAGTTAATGCGTTAGTTAATGAGAAGAATCGCCAAAGACGAGGCATGCCTTTAGGTCTTATTGATAAAGAGAACCCTGGTGAAGCCCAGTTCTTCTCGCTGAGCAAAGTTGAAGCTGCCAAACAGCGTATACGAGATATTGAAGCCCAGAAAGAGCAGGATAAGATTAATGCAGCAATTCTTCGTACGCAAAAAGCACTTGAGCGCGAAAGGAGAGATCGAGAGAACCAAGAAAAGCGAGAAAGTCGGATCCGTGAGCGAGAAGCGAAGAAGCAACAAAAAGAGCTTGAAAAAGAGCAGCGTCACATAGCGCGGGAGACTAAAAAACAAGCTAAACATGATCAGAAAATGCAAGAGAGTCAGATACACCTTAAAAGAAGACGATCTAAGCGTGTCACAGAGGGCAGTGAGGATGTTTCTTCAAAGAAACAGAAAATAGAGGTGACTCGTTTAGGCCGAGAAATTAATCTACCCGTGCGGTTTAGGGATTAAATAATTATATACAGCTATCCGGTACATTATTTCATGCACTGTAGTAAAATTTGATACTTAAAACTTCATTTGTTATGGAGATATCACCGAATTGCGTGGTAGAGTAATTTGCGGAGAGGAGTGCATCCGGTGATAGAGTGCATCCGGTGATCGCTTACGTTATCCTACCTAGGTACGGCACGAAAATTTTCTTTTTCCATGTACCCCTGGCGCTACCTAATGCCGCTCGCCCGAATTCTCATCGCGAAATCATGGGAAGAGAAAAGCAGAGATAAAAAGTAACGAAATAACGCCCCAAGTCGAAAAGTTTTGCCTCTGTTCAGGATACAGAGGAGCCACTGGTTTCCCACTTCCTTCCCGCTAAGCCCTGAAAAGGAAGTTCTATCGAAACAGAACTGTATAGAGGCGATTCCTGCGGCCGCTAGTTAGTTTGCGGCTGAAGCAGACCAGCAGACTTATTAATTGTATAAGCTCATTCGCCCTTGCACCCATCAAATTTCTAGCTTACAGTCAGCAGAACTCTTTTATCATGTACTACGATATACTGCGCATAAGGTTTTGTTAATGTTATGAGTCACTGGTCAGATTTTATCTGCGATTTTGGAGACCGATGGGGTGTAACGGGTACCCGAAGTGCTAAGGGAGAGGATTGAGGACGGTTGCGGCCGCATTGTCTTGAACCTTCATACCTAGTCATTGGTTGGTCTGGTACTAATTGGTCTCGGATTTCCGCAAATAGACCTTGATATTATCTGAATCCGACGTTCTTGAAGTGCCCAAGTGGAATATAAGTATCTAGCTCTGTCTTCTTCGTCGACTGCTTAATTCAAAGCATATAGCACGGAACCCTTCCATCACACTTATAATAGTACTACGATCGGTTTAACCTATCTATTATGAAACTATCTATATTTGCCCGTCTCGGCGCCCTTTCGCCTCTCATCCTGACGGCAGCAAATGCCGCGGACTGTACGGCGCCTAACCAACAATGGTACGATCTCTCCGCTGTCCAGATGATGTGGTCGATCCGTGCCTGGGTCTGCCCGAACGCATGGTGGCAATCTATCACGGCCGGTCCTGACGGCGCCTGGTGCCATGTTAATGGAGATCTGGCGGGTTCGTACTGGGGTTCCTGGACTATCAGCGGGATGCAGTCTGAGCAGGAGTGCTGGGTATGATACGTCCCTTGCCACCGGACCTCAACAAAACATGGAGACTAACAGAGCAAAAGGATGTTCTCGAGCAAATCATCGACCAATGCATGTGGTATGACTATAAATTGACTAGCTATAATGGCGGGACTTGGAAATGGGGGAATACCTATGCAGGCGGCTGGTTCTGGGCGGATAATAGCAAACCTTGTGTACATGCTGTTCAGGCGAGAGGTAGTGAAGAAACTGAAACTGAAACTGAGACTATTGGCTATGGTGCACCAACCAATTTCACCCTTGCTAATGGGACGGTAATGAAGATTAATCGACAGGTTTGGCTGAATCTGTCTGAAGATGGTTCGCCGAAGCTGGTGAGGGAGGAGACATACGAAGGTGAACACGTTTGAAATTGTGGGTGGACTGCTGTCAACTATGATGATGACGATGAAGAGACATGTTTAGGTTCTTTACGGGATATGAATCTAGGATTGCACTAGAGTGAGGAGAGACGCTTGAATTACGATGTAAACACAGTAGCTGAACTTGATTTCTGCTACTTATCATGTGTCTATGACCGTAACATACAGAATGATTCAATATCGGTGGTTCTCAGATAGATACTCGAGCTTTAGAACGGTGTACGCAAGAAGCCAGTTATCTTTTCGGATAGCCAGGCAGCACTCAGAACTCTGATGAACCCGCGTATGGTCTCTGGCCAAACGTACTTTCGTGACTGTGTTGAACTACTAAAGAAATGCATGGACAAGGACATCGATGTGACATTGCGGTGGATTCCAGGCCACGAGGGTGTCCCTGGAAACGAGGCTGCAGACAGAGCTGCGAAACGTGCAGCTCTAATAGGTGCACGAAGGCAGGTCGTGCCAGGAGATATTTATGGCTGGATAATGCTTGCAGCGGCTGCAAAACGAAGAATACGACAATCAACCAAGGATGCCTGGGAGAGATCGTGGGATAGACAAAAGGCCGGCAAACCTATTAAAAAGCTGATTAATAAACCTTCTAAACGCACACTCCAGTACTAAGACGTTTCTCGGCAAAGCGACGTCGTCGATCCTGATTCAGATCCGTACGGAGCGAATAGGTCTGGCCCATTCTCTCTGGAGAATCAACCAACGAGAACAGCCGTACTGCTCATGCGGGTTATCTGGCCAATCCGTGAAGCATATCCTTATGGAATGCCCACTGCACACGGAAGACCAATACCGCTACGATATCAAGCCTCCAACACGAAGTTGACAGTCAGCGAGTGGCTGAGCCTGTTGCCAGATGGCAGTTGAGCGAGTTGACAGTTAGCGGTTGAGCTAGTTGATAGTTGGCAGTTGAGAAAGTCGACAGTTGAGGGTTGAGTAAGTTGACAGTTGGTGGTTGAGAAAGTCGACAGTTGGGGTGTTAAGCAAGTTGGCGGTTGTAAAAAAGCATCTTTTTTCTTTGGGATCAAAATCTCGAAGCCAGGAATTGAAGAATAGGGAGAAATGACCTCTTTCCTACGAGCCTTTACCCAGTGCGTAACCCAATTTTTCCCAGGCTCGTTACCGGTTATATCCCTTGCAAAGTTGATAAGCATTAAATGCGTAGGTGGGAAGCCATCCTCAGTGAGCCGATTGACGTATTTTATAAGCATCCTCGATTGCTCGTCGTTTATCAATCGTTGATTGTTGTATTGTACTTGTTTTGAGCCCGAAACTCCACGAAAACGTCTTGAAAGTTGTGAAGCATTAACGCTATACGTTCTTGCTACCAAAGTCATATTATATGGGTATTAAACAGGGCCATCAGGATCCATTCCCATTATATATAGTCTCTGTTGGTTTAACTACGGTCCGTATCACGAAGCATAGACGGTAGTAAGGCGCGAACACGAAGCGGCCTAATGAGCCTGACAATATGAAGATATCTTGATTCCTAATATTGTGACTTGTCCCCAAGAACGAGGGGGACGGGGATAGCTAGCTAGATATACGCGGCACGCACGTGCCGCGTCAGACTAACTATATCCGGTGCCAAAACGTGTAGGGTTTGATATTCACGTTCCGACACTGGCAACTCTCTAAAAATAGGAAAAATAACGAGCAGCACCGGGTTGATAAAACAAACGGATTGGTGTAGGGAATGGTGCAGTAAACAATACATAAATGCTTTCTGTACATGCGGGAAGAATGAAGCAAAAGAAAATGTGGTTAGACACGAGGATTCGGGACATTATTGGGGATTTGCGAATGCCACCGAATTTGCTTTGATCGCGCGATTTTGCGGTGTCGTGGTAGACCTTTCTACCCAGCCGTCGACAGTGATATGTAGCTTATTCGTATCAACAAGGATCTGCAAAGCGTTGCATGCTTTGTTCTTTGTCATGGCGTCGGCAGGGTTGCTATTGCCATCTATCCATTTGACTTCCGTAATCTCTTGACGTTCGTATGACTGGCGGAGACACATGAGATCGATCATGAGTCGTTTTTCTTGTGTCGTACCAAGTTTCACAAGGCAGTCATATAAGCTCTTTGAATCGGTGCAGATCACTAGCGGGAGCGGATTCTCGAGGTGTAGAATCTGCGTAACTGTTGCTTTGATAGAGGCAGCGAAATCAAAGCCGTTGACCATGGCGTATAGCTCCGAGGCTAGTACGCTACGTGTTATCCGCTTGCACTTGACCGAGGACCAGTGTACAATATTCGCGTTGTTCGAGGCGTCGGCAAGTACAATAACGAATCCGATTTGTGACGAGAGGTCTTTATTATTAGCGAATGCCGCGTCAACAAAGGCGTATAGTTTGATGGTGTTGATGTTAAGTTTGACAAACTTCAAGCCGCGGTATGGGTTGTCAATTTGCCATTGCAGGCGCTTGTTGAGGTATTTGATATCCTCTTTCTGCGGATTAGTGCTCTGTGCTGCGAAGGCATAATCAAATGCGGCTTCCGGTTGCGTTAAGGAAGCAATATAGGCACCAAGCGCTCGTTGAGATACGTATTGTTCTTTTGGTGATGCGTTCTTGCGGATCTTTCCCCGGGAGCTTGTCATATCGGCGTGTTGCTCTTGCACGATTTGTATAAGCTTGCAGGTTCGTTCTTGGCTAAGCATAATACCCTGGGCCGTCTCCGAGATGAGGCCACCGTTGAATTTCAGCGGGTTTGTAGGCGAGAGTCGTTCGCGAGGTTTGCACTGTATCTTGGCAGCCTTAATTTCCTTCTCTTCGCGGTTAGCGAAGGCGTTGTCGGCGAGGATAAGAGTATCATCAGTCTGCATGCCAACGATGCCAAAGCCATTGCTAGGGTCAATACAATGTAGGAGACACGGGTCGTAGGTTGACGTCTCCATTTGTAGTTTCTCTGTATGATGGCTATGGTAGGTGTTGAACCAATGATTGCCTGATTCAGGGATCCCATATAGAGGCTTGACGACTTTTAACAGTGTGCCTGGTGAAAGGAGGATGGCGAGTTCTAGTGGCGGTCGTACGAAGATATCACGGTTAAGATACGTTTGCGATTGAATATACGCTTGAACAACGTCTCGTAGCCATAGGGAGTGAGTAACCATACAGGCAGTCAGGCATAGAATCAGGCGCTGACTGCAGCGTTGTATAGTTGGTGATTCAGTCAATATGAAGTCCTTCCCTTCGTCATTGTAAGCCTGCACAACAAGTCGCGATTTTTCAAAGGCCTTGTCGGTGCCAGAATTCTTCATCTCATCCACAAATCGTGAGTTGAAAATACGTTCACCTTTGGGAACTTCATTCTCATGCACGAAGTGGAAGACACCTCTCTCCAATAGGCCATCCACCTCTTGCTTGCGTGAGTCAGTAAATCTTGTTTGTTCCAATACCTCGTCAAAGTTAGCTCGAGGTTGAGTAATCTCCTTATTGTTGATATATGCTTCGAAATCGTCATCTCGGTATCGAGCGGATGGTTGACGGTTGCGCTGCGGTCGTTGAGAGGGGATTTTGACAGTCGATGGCGGTAGGAGTGCATTTCCTTGTGTTGGGGGTTCAGGTGCGTTATCATGGTCTAGAGTAGTGGCAATATCCTCAGGTGGCATGTCCTCGGCATAGTATGGCTTTACAACGGTTGAGCGGAATTGAGTTGGGCCACTTGGAAGTGCGACTGTGCAGGTCTCGTTATTGACTTCTACTAGTTTGTATGGGCCTTCCCATTTTCCAGCATAGCCAGTATTTCCTTCTCTGAATACAAGGACGTTCGAGTTGAGTGGTAGCGAATGGATCACCGTAGTTGACGGGCCGTTACGGGTATTGAGTGCATCTCTTACTTGTCGTTGTGCGTACAATTTTCGTACCTCAGCAGTTGCTTTCTTGAGTGCAGTAGCACGTTGTTCAACTGATATTGCTGGTGCGTCGTTTTGCGTAAGTCGTGGGTAGGCACCAAATACGAGAAGCGTGGGTACGAGGCCGTTGGGGCCGGCAGTATCGTTGACAGATTTTACGGCCATTTGTAGTGCCATATCGGGGTGTAGATCTGGCAATTCGTCGGAGATGATGGTATAGGCGCGACGTAGTACGGCGTGGTAGCGTTCAACCATGCCAATTGACCAATGAGCTTCAATAGGAACGCTCTTGACAGTGGTGCCAATAGATGTCGCGAGCTGTGAGAATTCCTTACTCACAAAGTTCTTTCCAGCGTCAGTTGCAATGAGATCTGGTGGTCCTAGGTACGTATCAATCCAGGCAACACGTAGGGCATCCCATGTTGCACTTGAAGATATATTAGGGAGCCAACGTGCGGCGTTAAAACGTGTTGCTTCGTCGATAATATGAAGTACAGGTTTACCATCAATATACATAATATCAACAATAATTGAATGGTTGAAATGTATATCGTCTTGCAACGTAAAGCGGAAACGGCCAGGAGATTTACCATGGATTTGGCAGTGATGACAGAATTTGCGAATATGCTCGATTGCTTCACGGTCAGCGTCGTGGCCTGCGCGCTCGATAACGCGGTAGAATCTGTCAGTTGAGGGATGACCGAATCGACGGTGTAGGCGCCGTAATTCTGCTTCTGTGAGGAAGCAGGGATTCTCATCAAGTGATTCCAGGAGACATGATTCGTAGGTCTCCTGCCATATAAGGAATGGATGGCCAAATCTTCGTATAACCTGGGTAGTCATATTCTCTTTTGGGCCAATGAGAAGATCTTTGGTGTTGTCGTAATACACGTTCAGTCTGTCCAGGTCTTTGATAGAGAGCAGGAACGGTGTCATTGTTTCGAGGATATGGAATCGGACTCGGCCAATTGGTGTGTCAACATCGACTGAGCCTTTTGAGCGTACAGGATCGCCTGAGCCAAATTTGATCCCTACTGAATTTGCGGTTGACGTGTCTATTACAGCTCCCTTGACAGCTTTCTGATATGCGAGGAATTGACTGTATCCGGCTGTAGAGAAGTCTGCAGCGCCGGTGTCAATGAGAATACCTTGCCATGTTTCTTCGGAGTATCGGCTTGCCGAAACGTAGGTGCTTGTATCAATCGTTTCTTCAACGTTATTCTCTATATTGTCGCCATCTTGTGCTTCCTTTGTTGCCAGGGCTTTGACACAGTGCATAGTCGCTCGATTTGCTAACTCTGTAGTGATTAACTTTCCTAATTCTCCCTTTGGCTTCTCATCAGTAGTGAAGAAAGCGCTGGCAAAATGGGTTGAGGTAGTCTGGAGTGGTGCATTCTTATTGGCTGAATCTTTGGAAGTAATTGAATCCTTGGTCCTTGGAGGTTCGTCATCACTGCTGTCATCCTCGAAATAAGCGCCACTTGATGCTAGTTCTTCAATTGATTCAGGGTCATATTCCCAGCCCTCAATTTCAGCCATAAATTGTTGATAACTCCCAGATCTGTTTTTATTCCATTCACGCTTGTGTGCCTCGCGCTCCTCGTCCGAGTGGTTATATGATAAGTGTCCTGGTTTCTTGCAGATATAACATGTCTTTTTGTCGTTTCTGGGACCTCTGAAGTGACGAGATGGTTTCCGAGTAAAGCGGCTGCGGTTTTGAGGTTGGTATCGTAGATTATTGTTGAAGAAG